TAATTTTTTCATTTTTTTATTGTTAATAGTCAAGTTGGAATATTCAAATTAATTAAAATTGAATTACTTAGTCTTAAATTCAACAAAATTATTATATAAATACATGGTTTTTATTAATGTTTACATAATTAAATAATCATGTTCTTATAGTTTAGCAGGAAGAATTTTTCCACTACATGTGCCAAAACCAATTCTATATCCATCTCCTTGGCAGTAGCCAGAAAGAATAACTTCATCCCCATCATTGAAAAATAGAAGTTCATCATTCTCAAGATTTATGACTCTCTGACCACCTCTTGTTCTTTCAAACAAACATCCACACTCTTTGTCATTAGGACCACTAATTGTTCCTGATGACAGTAGATCACCTGGTTGTAAATTACAACCATTAATTGTATGATGAGCTATTTGTTGCAAAGGAGTCCAATATAAATTGTTGTAATTAGTATCACAAATTCTATGCTTTGATCCATTAAGACATACACTTGCATTAAGATTAATATTAAAATTATACTTGTTATCATGTTGTAAATATTTCATCGGCATAGGTTCTTGCTTTAAGTTATCAACTTTAAAATCTTCTAAAGCTTCCATTGTAACTACCCAAGGAGATATACTTGTTGCAAAACTTTTTGATAAGAATGGTCCAAGTGGTATGGACTCTCTCAATTGAATATCTCTTGCACTCCAGTCATTTAACATTACCATTCCGAAAATATAGTCTGATGCTCTTGACGTTGGTATTGATTCTGATAAAGAATTTAAAGTACCACCCACAAAAAAGGCCATTTCCAGTTCATAATCAAGCATTTCAGTAGGACCAAAATGCAATTTACCATTTTTTAAATACTGACCCTTAGGACGAGTAATAGGTGTACCTGATATTATAACAGATGATGAACGACCATTGTAACCGATTGGCATATGTTTCCAGTTATCAGCTAAAGGTTTTTGAGGTGTCATTATAGTTCCACAGTTGTAAGCATGATGGTAACATGAAAAAAAATCTGTATAATTGCTAATTGAAACAGGCAAATGCATGTTAACTTCATTTTGATTCCAAAATACTCCTTTATTAAAATTATCAGCTTTTTCAATACTTAAATAAGACTGAATTGATTTTCTAGCTTGTGTCCATGTACTTTTACTTGAAGCCATTAAACTATGTAATGAAGATTGTTGAAATAGTTCATACAGAGGATGATTAAATACATTAGTTGTATTTTTTAAATCTAATATTTTATTACCAATTGCAACACCTATTCGATGGGTAGGATCATCTTGAGTAGAAAACACTCCATATGGTAAATTTTCAATTGGAAAGTGTGATTCTTGTGTATAAGGTACATAACTTTTTAGAGGCATTTTGAAATTAATGAAATAAAAATCTTCCTTTGCTTTTAAATGACTAATTAAGACTAAACACTCAGTAATTTAAAAGTATTCCGTGTAACATTTATTATCACTAAATTACATAACATAACCTTGGTACAGAAAAAAAAGTGTTTAAGGTTAAAATGGTATAATTATATATCTAATCATTTGATGTGAATATCCGAAGAACATTACTACAGTAAAAAAGTACTTTTACCTCACTCAAGCGACTATTACATTTACATATTGAAATTAATCAATATTTTAATACATATAAAAAATAGTGGTTTGTTGAAGTTACTTAATTTTTTTTTTAAGTTTACAGCAGTATTTATATTAAACTGCAATACTTATCGGGACTTTTTCACTCCAATAAATTTATGTAAAGAATCATAAAAAATGTGAAAATAATATTGATTGATTAGTGAATGATTTATTTTCTTGCTTATTCAAAATTTTTTATCTACAGATAAATAATGAGATTATATAACAAAATTACTCATCAATATTACTTTATTCATGTTTATAAATACATGAAATAGTAGTAAAAATAGTTTTTAGAATTTCAGTAATTTTTTCAATTCTATAGTAATCATAAAAATAAAAGGTATGGTCCTAGTTAATGTTAAAAGAAGCTACATGTAAAAAGTAATAATGGATTTATAACAAATTGACTAAAT